ATGTAGACTTCCTGCACGTCCTGGCTCAGTCAGGAAAGTGATGAAAAAAAAAATCTGTGGGAAGATGTAAAACATGCTGTGTGCACCAGCCAGCCTAAAAATATTGAGCAATTTTTTCCCAAGTTTTTTTTTTAAAAAGTTAAGATCCTGCACCTATGAAAGGCAAATCCAAATGCAAAACAGTGACCTCTCAACCTGAATTTCATTTTGGGGTGGAAGAAGAAGTCGCATAATTCTGATAAGTGGGGCAGGTGGGGAGTGATGATTGTGTAGGTGTGGCCACAAAACAACAAGACACGTCATGATGGAGCACCAAATCGCCACATCGTAGGACAGTTCAGGCAGCTTGCTTCAAATATTCTCCCACAGACAGCTGATATTGTTTCAGTTGACCACGATGTTAAAAGGACAAATTCTCCTTGCATACCTTGTGAACATCGAAGAAAACAAGGAGCATCATTTTGGGTGCTCTTTTGACATGATGCACCTTTTTGAGATCTTGGAGATTTTGGGCTTTTATTGTAAAAAAGCTCTGTTTGGTCTCTTGTCGTAGCCATGTCGATTAAAGATTTTTCAGTTTGAGACGGTCAAGAAGCAGAATTGGGAAAAAAACAAACTCTCTTTTAATCTGGTGACAGAAGAAAGTCTGCTTTTGAGGGTTTTTGTTTTATTTTAGGCACTGTTTATTATTAGAAAGCTAAATTGCAAATAGGCTAAAACAACATGATTCACATAATTGGCAGGTTTAGAAAATAATACTATTCGTTTCTTTGTAACTTTGTCTTTTGTTGTTGTCTGGGTTGTACACATTGAACAAGCTCTGTATTGTCTTTCCTGTTGTTTTTTTTTATTAACAAATGAAAGAGGAATAAGAGGAAAACTCCTCCAATTAAAGGCTCCAGCAGCGTAACAGAACTGTAACGTCCTCCTCTCGGTTCGTCCAGCTCCGCTCTCAGTTTGGACGGAGGAGTCATTCCTTCACCACCTTTGATGTATCTTTAACACATTTATGAATGTGCCTTTCCTCCTGTTTAATGAGCAGGCTTTCTCACTCCATCGAGTGAAGCCCGTCATGTAACTATTGCATGTGTTTTCACAGGCCCGGACGAGAAGAAAATCAAGTCGAAGAAAGAGAAGATGAAGGAGAGGAGGGAGAGATGGCTCAGCAGTGAGTTTGTATGAACACTCAGCACCCTCAAAGGAATGTACACATGCACACTGCTGNGTGATAGTTGTGCTACGTTCCTGCTAATGTACCAATCTGCACCAAAATGAGACCAAACATAATGTCAGCTGAGTTCAGTGCATCTGCTAGACGCAGAATATAAATAGAATTGAACCCAAAACTCCTCAATTTCCTGACCATTGGACACTACAATTTACTGAGGTTCCCTAAATGCCTCATATGCAGGCTGCAGTAGAGGCTAGCTTGTCGGCTGTGCACAGAGAAGCCTCTTGTCTCCACTAAGGTACTGCAGCTCAAACAGGTGTGAGACCAAAAGATAGTTTGAAAAAAGTCAAATTAGGCATTCTAATGTCTGGTATACCCAACTGTTGTTTTTTTTTTTTTGTTTCCTCACAGGCTGTGTTTTCTAAGAGCAGAGTTTTCCATGAGCTGGAGCATTTATTTGTGAGAAGCCAAAATCATGATTGTAATTCTACTGATTGCCTTACAAGTCCTTTTTGCAACCAAATTGTCCTGTTCCTTGCTAAATTTTCTGTGCACCTACTCATTTAGAAGATTTCCAAGAACCCTTAAATCAGAATAAATGAGGTTCTGTCAGACAGGCTTCTCTTGTACATTAGTCATGGACGATGGGAACCGTAGAAGTTTTCATGCAATGTAATGCTGAAATAATGTTTTGCGCAATGTTGTGACACAAACTCAGTTGTTCATTTAGTTTACAAACAGAGAAAATAGTTATTTCTTTCAATTCTAGAAAATTGAAATAAAGACTAATGAAAGTGATCAACATTCTTTTTTCTTACAACTTTTTCAATGAACTTTTTCCAATTCTAAATGTCATAAATGTTAATTAACTGTCAGCTCTTATGCAGAGAAAAAAAACAAACAAACCACAGAACTAAAGTAAATGTACTAATACTATACTTCTTCAAGGAGTTTTTATAGAAATATAGTAGAAAAACAGGAATGAGGGAAAGAGCAGCACCATCTTAATTAATTACTAAATTAAGGGTGATCAAATAGTTTTGAGACTGTGGCTGTAAAACTCAAAAACTGATTCAAATTTTCCCTTCATCCATTTCAAATTAGGTGTACTTGTGCAGCAACAACTTAGTTACCAGCTCACCTTTTATGTCACCTTAACTGCATCCAGTTCTAAACTACCAGTCCGACCCAGGAGGTGTAATTAGAATAGACTGAGCAGGATGTGGAGTCGGGCTGGATGTGGGTTGGGTAGGTGAGGGATTGCCTTCAGCCGGCTGTAATCACAGCTATCCATTTCATCTAACAGTGGAAAGAAGATGCNGTGTGTGTGTTTGTTCAGAGATGAATATATATTCTATTCTTCTGTGTGACAGTAGTCCACTGTTGTCCACAAACTAGGACTCTACAGGATTTAAATCAGATGCAGTGGTTCACGACAGCGACTTTAATATTGTCAGAATAATCAACTTGGCAGCACATGTGTATTTCTGATCCTAACTTTTGATTACACTTTGACCCTTTGAACCCAAAAGGGGCATGTTCTCTTTTTAAATAATCACCAAAATTACATTTTATAGAGACTGTAACTATGAAAACATAAAGAAGCTCCTCTTTTTCAAACACCGTGAAGCCATGAGGACATTTCAGGTGAGCTGCAGCCGGTTTACACAGAGCAGATTGGAGACCAGCGTGGAAGCAGAGTAAAACTGTAGATATGAAATTATGTATTTCATGTCATGCCACACTTTTTTGTCCAGTGTTAGTAACACCTGTGGGCACTGGAAAGATTCCATAGGTTTCAGGGTTAAACAATGTGTACATGAATAATCATCAAAAAATAATTTAGAACATCTGCATTTTATGGCTGACTACAGGTCTGTGAAGATTGTCAGTCACCCAGTTCATGATTATTCTCGTAGATTAATCATAGGCTGACTAAATGCTGTAACTTTACTTCTTATGTTCTAGAGTGACTCACTTTCACATTATGCTTGTTTGTGTTTCTCTAAATCAGTCATAGTCGTCATGGGCAGAGCTAAGCAAAGGATGCAGCTTTGGTCTTCCCTTTTTTGCATACAGGGAGGCTAGTATTGTGTTTAAAATGGATTATCCACTGGAAAAAAAGAAACCTTACAGTGTCCGGCTGCCAAAGCAACTCGTGGGTTAATCGGCCAGTGACGACTGTCCCAAATCACTGCACTATTTCCTGAAAATGTTGATTTAAAAAACAGTTGTTTTAGGCAGTTAGTAAGATTACAGAGGTTTTTTTGTCTGCTGTAGTCTACGTCCTCGACTTTCAACATTTATAATCCCATCCAGAATAATGAGTCAAGTTACAAGGAACCAAAGTATTTTATCGTCCACATTCTCCAGTGAATCTGAATGAAGCTTTTGCAAGCTATGAGGCGTTTAATAAGTGAATGAGTTTTGGGGGGGGGGGGCTTTTTGGAAAAATGTCCATCATAGCTTCTCTCTATAATTCTAACTCTTCTCCTCAACACCACTGTCATGATCTCCAATAATTGAGATCAGGTCTGTAACCGTACCCTTCTGCTGAGCCAATCAATTGCTCAGTAGCACAACGCGTATCCTCTTCAGGCGTATAATTAGGTGCTAATGGCTGTGTCTCTGTCCTGGTGAAACCCAACACTGGCTCCATGGCTGACAGTTTTCAGGAATTAGGAGGAAATTAGACTGAGGAATTAGTTTGTTTGTTTTTTTTTTTCAGTTTGTGGACACTGGGTAGGGACAGCAGACTTTTGGCTTTTGTACATTTTACGAACTAAAACCAGCATTACAAGCTGGAAATTTGTTACTGTGACTATATTTGCATCTGAATTTACAAACAGAGGAAAAAGTTTGTTGCGTTTTTCATTTCTGAATGTTCATAGGATAGAACATTGGTGACGTTCTTCAGCCATACAGCCACATTTTATAACCTCAATGATGTCTGACAGATTCACCAAATACACAAGTTAAAGACAACAGGTGAGAAGTGAATTTAGCGATATTTCTGTGTTAAATGATCCCTCAGAGAGAAAGTTAGAAGCGATGCTAATTCCTGATCTCACACATTCACATTCATGTTTATTCTAGTTGTTTTTCTTTGCGATGTCAATCCCAGATGCAGAGAGAGTCATCTTTCTGAAGGGTGGACAGTAGCGCTGCATTTAAAGCTACAAACACTGAAAGGCTGAAACGAGGAGTTGTACAGTCATGGTGCCATTAACCGTCTTTGGAGGATTTTAAGTGAAAAATTGGAACACACATTGTGGGTATAAGTGAGACTTTAAGTTGTTGAAAAGGGACACAATATGTAATTTAATCAAAAAAAACATAAAAAGGAAATGGAGAGAAATTGATGTTGTTTGCTAAAGTCTTCAAATCCCAGTGAATTCTCTTCATTTTGTGCATTAGTTTTTTTTATTTATCATTTGTTTCTCCCAACAGTAAACTATGGACATTGCATGAGCTCTGGACATCAGTCTGTCTATTCAATCAAAAATAGCTGTGAAAGTAGACTGTGTTTGTGAATGATTATGTTCTGTTTGCAGCCAGAGGGAAGCTTCTCTAACACTNAAGAAAACATGTAACATACCTTCCGTTATGTTGACAACAGTCAGAAACTGCAGCTGTTCAATATTAACTTTGCACTCTCCACCTCCAATGTAGAGATTTGAGGAGTCACATAAACACCATATATTGGAGAAGCTACCTTCCAGCTGTCCAAAAATCCTAGTTTTAGCATGAGTCATTTTAAACATTTATTTTTGAGGCTTATTAAAAGTAAACACATGAATAAGTTGCCTCAATAGTCATGTTTCTTCTTGTATTACGGATCTCCATCTGCAGAAACTTGCTTTCTGACCTCATCACAGACTAATTGATCTGTGCACAAAAGCTTCAAATTAATAAAAGTCCCGTGGAAGAATTTTTGGCTTTGCTTCAACTATTCTCCCACAGACAGATGATATTGTTTCAGTTGACCACGATGTTAAAAGGACAAATTCTCCTTGCATACCTTGTGAACATCGAAGAAAACAAGGAGCATCATTTTGGGTGCTCTTTTCACATGATGCACCTTTTTGAGATCTTGGAGAATTTGGGCTTTTATTGTAAAAAAGCTCTGTTTGGTCTCTTGTCATAGCCATAAACCCACCACCTGTCACCACTGATGATCCTCGTCATGAAGGTTGGGCCACACTGGGCCTGTTGATGGAGATCAGGCAGACTGTGCTTCTGCTAATGACTGGTCTGGATATAGATCACATGACATCACATTGGATTATGATGCATGAGAATCAGAATTCATGATCACAGATTATAAAAGAAAAAAAGCCTCAATAAAAGAACCTCCTTTGCTTTGCTGTGCTTTGGGGGCAGCTGAGTTAGTCTACACTTATTTCATAGCTCTGAATCTGCTGTGGTGTTAGAAAGCAAACGAACATGAGCAAACAAACAAAAGCACTTCAAGATGGTGTCTATTTACATTTCTCAAACAGATCCCAGCAGAAAAAACAACAACAATACACAAAAAAAAAACAACAACAGCAGCTCTGGAAAGTGGTTCTGGCTTGAAAAGTGTTTTTGAGCAGAAATGTTTAGAGTTATTAACCCTGGACGCACTTGTGTCAAAAGTAAATGCAAATATTAACATAATTTTAGGAAAGTCTAAAGTCCATTTACATGACCTTAATCCGCAGATGCAGTTTACTCAGTTGTCATGGAGACTGATCTGTAGTTTCATCCCCAGCACTTTGGGAACTCATCTCATTGCGGTGGAACCTGAGACTTCAATAAAAACAACCCGAGGTCCACTCATCAGTTTCTTCGGGAGCTTTCAACATTTGGAAAGCTGCAGGCAGCTCACAGTGGGAACTCTCATAGATGCTGTTTGAATGCTTTTGGTGACTCCTTGTTTCCCTGCATCTCTGCAATGGAGGTGGGAAGTGCAAAGTTAGCTTGACCCACAGAACCACAAAAGACACATTAATGGGATTATCCCTGAACCCTCTGAACCCCAAAACCTCTCAGTGGCTTTCAAAGGCATGTTAACTTTA